ATGCTTAGAGAATCAGCAGTTCTCTGACAAAAGCTACTTCAAAAAAGAGCCATCATTCCTTAAATTTTTAAGGACAGTCGTTTCCCTTTCAGTTGATTCATTCAGTAGTGAACTTTAATGGTAGAAAAAGGAGACAAAGGGTGGTTTTCCTCTGAATCAGAAAGGGATCTTACTAATGTGTTTAACTTGCTTTCTGTAAAAAAAAATAATAGAAAATTAAAAAACTCTTCCAAAAATGGATCAGAATGCAGTAGAACATCAAATTTTTAATGCTTATGACAATACACACCCTACCATACCACACAATTTTTCTTCTATATTGCATTATTAGCACTTCCTCTTCAACACATTTACCACTAGATCAGTTAATTCATGCTGATCCAATAAACAGAACTTATGGATGAACACTCCGAAATGTAATTGTTCAGCCATAACCAATTATCCAACAAAATACACTGGACTTCACCTTCCTTCACTGATAATAGCATCCATTGATTTCAGAAGAAGCGGAATAGTCCAAAATTTCACGTAGTCACTAAGTTTAGACTACTTCAGAAACCACTAGAAATAAGATTTTTTTCCTTTGAAAGCTGTACTCCATAAACCGTACAACCAACAGCCTCAATAATAAATTTCATGAGCACTTTTAGGCCCTACCACTGAAAGTGCTTTCAAGCTTGGTTAGTTTTATGCACACAAGTACTCCTTATTTATATCTCAAAAGAACTATTCCTACACTTGAAAATACAGGTACACACATATGTATGTATTTGAAGAATAAGGACCTTAGTCTTGCAGGGTTATTTATTCTGAAGCAACTATTCATGTCTCTTGCAGCCAACATCTTAAGCACTGTCAAGTTTCACAAACTCTTGAAAGCAGAGGTCCCTGTTCTCAGTATAATGAAAACCAAACTTCAGTTTTGCCATCTTTCAAAGGTCTGCCCACCTGCAGACATTCTTTTGTACATACTTATAGTTGTGAGATGACGTTCAGCTCTTGGTGAAACAAAGTCAATTTTGCAATTGCAGTGCAAACTCTGGAGCTAGTGGCACGGACCTCCTGCTGTCCTTGGCAGGTGCCGGCAGAGGCAGGGCTTCCACACCAAACCCAGCTCCTCCAATTCTGAGTGCAGGCTCCTGCCCTCTCCCTTGCTTGTCTTCCTCTGCATGAAACCTTCTTAACATAGTGGACTGGCAGAAGATTAACCTGGCAGATAGATCAGCATTTAGATGGGTGTAGGTGTTGTGAAACCACAGGCTAATAGTTATATTCATTTATTCCTCCAGCTGTCTTCTAAGGAGTGGTAAGGTCACAGGATGACACTACAGAAGGCACCACAAAGGGGTTCAAAGAAAAAGTCTTGCTGCAGTCTTGGGGAAGTTTCTGCAGACGCCTTCCGATCCCTTCACTGAATGCCTTTTTCTTTCGAGTGACTTCATCCTCCCCAGCTCCTCCAACCACTCCTGCCATTTCTGGGCTATATCTGCTGGGTAATCACCTTGAAGTGTTGCACCAGTGAAAATTTCCTGGCGCAAGAGGCTTAGCGCCTGCAGAGTTGTTCTCCTGTAACAAGTCTCTTACATGTAAGAACAGCTGAGGTAACACATAATGGGTGCGTTATACCTTCAAAACACAGTATGATATATTCACCTAAAAGTAGATGGCATTGAAGAGAATGGATTTAAAACACCTACTTTGTATTTCCCTCAAGAGACTATAAGGACATGGCATAACTGTCGACGACCCCACTTTCCTGGAGACTAAGTAACTTTGTGCTCACTGCCTATCCTCAGATATTGCCCGTGTCAGCTTGTAATAAATGATAACATCCTCTATTCTCTTCTGCAGGAGACATTTTAACTGATCAGTGTGCTGATCTTTGTCAAACTAACCATGCAGGAAGAGCTGCCAAGAGCCCAGGCACAGCGCTGCTCAGGATGCCTCTCACAAGGCCACCGCGTTGACTTTCTCGCTCTTGCTTTCATAGCCCTTTTCAGTTACTTTCTGCGAAATGAAACCCATCCCAGCAAGCTGTTGCCCGATAGTCACAAACAGATACTTCCCAGCTTTCTCCAAGTTCCTGGGTTTTGCGCGCTCCTTTTTATATATGTAGATATGCATATCTATGCATATCGATACATGCACGCAGAAGCACACCCATATATGGCCACATATACCTATGTATACATACATACACACACACACACGCAGGCCTGCTTCAATAACTTGTAGAAGACAGAAAGGCAACCTGTTTTGCTTCCAAAACTAGCAAGAGCAGCCTTGCAAGGTACAATGGAAAATGTCTCTCAGGTAAGCTACTTGATCCATCACATAACAAAAAAATTAATTTGCTGAAGCCTTCGTGGAAAAACCTGACGGGATCTTCTGCTTAGGCCAAAGGTCCAGGACTTTGATTTTTATTTCCAACATACTCATTAATCCTTGTGACCATGGATTAAGTACCCAGTTTTCAGCCTCTAAATGAACTGTTGAAATCCTACAAAAAGTAGCATCATAAACTAATTTTCCTTCACTTAACAAGCCTTTTTTGTTACACCTTTGCATCTTTCCTTTGAGACTCTGAGGAACGTTACAGTTGACTGGAAAATGGGAAGGAGAATTTAGACCAATTGAACACAGCCATACTCTCTTTTAGCAGGCTATATCACAGTACAAATATTTTATTAAAAAAAAATTGCCAACAATTACAATATATTTTTAAGGAGTAACTGATATTTTACCCTATTTAGTTATCAGTTAACATATCATATATGATGCAAAAAATAAGCATCTTTTCAATACCTTTAAAATAGAAAAGCAAAGGGAAAAAAAGGATGTGTAACTGCTGTGTTGGGTTTTTTTTTTTAGCACTAAGAAACGGAACTGACAATCACGATTAAAAAACTGATCAAAAATACTACTATAATTTCTCAAGGGAATCAGAAATGAATTTCTGATTGAAATATATGTAGTGAACATGGGTAGCCAAGTTACACCAAGTTCTGTGTGGGAGAATAACACAAACTGCTTTTTCCAGGTGAACCTCTGGCCCATACTTTGTCTACAAATATCAGAGAGAAAAACATCATAATAAAAGTCTTTTTTTTACTATAAACCAGATTAAGTTATGATTACTTTTGGGATGATAAAGAATGTGCCTAGCTTGTCTCTTAAATCTACATTCAAATGGTTTCAAAGTTAATTAAGAGATGAGTAATTGTTTAGAAATCTCTAGAATAATAAAATATAACAACCTATAGCACAAAAGCAGCCCTTAAAGAAAAGAGTGGGGAGTATTTCACTTCACTACAAGTAACAGTTGAGTATGTTTTATGATCACTGTAACAACTAGCACACCCCTGAGACTGTGCAATTCTGAATTTCTAATATAATTTGTAGGGGGAAAATTAGGACAAAATGCAGTAACATTTCAAGTACAGTCTCTCAGTATTTTAAAATTTTATGAAGTATAAGGACTAGGTTAATATGGAATGAGTCATGTTTTTCAGAGAAGCAGTAACACAGACCTGTATTTTAAATCATAACTAAAAACATGCTCAACTAATACAAAATAAAAAGAAATCAGAGCAGCTTTTTGTTGGAAAAAGGTCAACAACAACAATGAAAATTTAGCAATAATTGAAACTAGCAGTGCTCTCAGCCTTTCCTGGTTTGGAAAGTTAAAATTCCAGGCTAAGTGACCAGGTAAAAGTGCTGCCTTCTCACTCAACAAAAGCGTTCCCACCAGCTGAAATTCATCCCAAATCAATATAAACTTTACATATATCAACTCTGAGCCTAAACATCAAGCTATTACATGACAAACACACTTGGTGTAGATCTTCTGATTTCAGTGTTGTATTTGCTTTACTTAGTGCCAAATATATGCTGCATTACATTTCACTCCACGATGTCTCTGAGAGTCAGAATTACTTACTACGTTTCAAAGTAATGCAGTTATATTCAAGCAAACTCTCTCGAAGTGTCATTTTGCTCACAGGACAAAAGACAGTGGAGATGCAAAGGTGTAAGTGAGGCTATAATTTATTTACATATTCTTTAGATCCATGCCCATGTGCAAAGCAGTGGAACCCAGCTCAGCTCTTAGATCCCAAATTGAGTTTTCAAAGCTAGTGGTTAGAAATATTATCCCTTTAACTTCTGTACTGAGTACGATGATCTAAAGATGCTTGAAATACAAAACTCAGGCTGGCACTTTATGCATTTATTTCTTAAGGCTAATGCTGCAACTACCATTCTTGTACTACACCTCAACTGTGACAACACAAGACACCAAAACTGTTGAAAAAAAGATTATTTGATCAAAGCTGAAGCAGTAAGCTCCCGTCCTTCTCTTCAGACCTCACCTCTGCCTTCCCTTTGCACAACTATCAGAAGACAGAAGTAAACCATAAAGACAGTCTGCAAATACGAACTTCTAATAGTCTGTAACATCAAGTAATAATCCCGAGATGGAGTAAGAAGATCGCATCAACCAAGCCCCTTTCTATAGGGCCTAAGATTTTAACTTGACTAGTCTAATATTGTCAAATGTGCTGAAGCAAAACACACCTGACACTGCATTGATTTTTATTTTTTTTAACAGGAGAAGCTGTTCATACTGAAACAAACTGCAGAGAACACCAAGTGGGGGCAACAGAGCGCTTGGCTTGGCTACAGCTTGCCCCAAACAGGCTTTTGGCCAAAAGAGGAAGCAAAACCAGTTACCAACAGGATGAGCTGTGTTATTGTCAAGTCACACTTCTCACTTCAAAATTAACATGCTGCCCTACCTTCCATGGGATAAAATCCAGATACAATTTTAATATATTTATCAAACAGAATAAGGTCTAGATGTTTCTGAAAAAAAATTAAAATAATCCACTTGTGTACTAAAAAGTACTTATTCTAAAAGTACTATTTGCAATACAGGATGGTTCACGGTACATCTGCAGGAAGGAACCACACCACCTTTAGTCAGTTAAAAAGGTACTTACCATTGGCAGTGCATTGATATGCGGAAGTTTTCCTTTCAGGTGCCTCTTGCCACAGAAGGGTGATGCTGACAAGGAAATAAGGAGACAAAATAGGAAACATTAATATTTATTCTTTTGAAAACGGTGGTGTTAACACGATAGGACGTTATCAAGTATGGGCCTTCAGGGCTCTTGCAGCCTACTTTGTTCAAGGAGCTGAGTGATTACCACCGAATTTGTATACAGCCCAGAGCAGCCGCGATCAGGCACAGAAGAGCACGCAGAGCTGGGGTTTTGCATATATCCTGTCGCTACCCACATCACACGAACTGCTCCTGCGGGGAGCCTGAAACACAGACCTTTGAACAAATAAGCCTGCTGAATGAATACTTACACCATCAGACCTCTAGACAGTCGCACCCATTCAGCGGGAGCACACGCAAACAAAACGACCTGTGTATGAAAATCCTGATGTCTGGATTTTTTGCCTTAGCTCTCCAAAAAAGCTTTGGGAAGTTAACTAGGCAAAATAGGCAGCTTACAGTATCTTCTGCCCATGCCAAATTTCTTCTGGAAATAAACCTCAGCTACCGATTTCTAAACACTCTGAAAAGCCCCAAACAAAAATCAACATTCCAGTGGTTTGACTTCCAAAATGGTTGCATCCACTGAAAAGCAGGAAAATAAGAGAGAGATCTGTTTTCCTAACGCATACTGCACTAAACTCTGTTTATGTACACAGGTGTGCCCATGCATCCAGTTACCAACTCCTGCAGTGACCTCAGTAATTTAAAAAAAAACAGCTCATACTAGTTGCTGACTATATATGATAATGTGTATATAATAGAAATCTTCCTAGTGTAATATTCAAGAGAAATATTTCCCATCTTCAAAAACCAAACAAAAACATAATAAAAAACCCCCATGCTCTCCTACTTTTTAGTTATTTTCTTTACATAGCAATAATAATATTATGCATCTAGTCAAGTATAAGCAAACATTTGTTGATGTCCAAGTATATATTAGCTTCATGCACAGTAATATCCATTTTTATTCATTAACGACAAACAATTTTTATTCATGCTAATATTTCTGAGTGGTTGCTCGCCATACAAATACTTGCCAGACTACTCTTCTTGTTAGGAAATAATCTAATCGCCCACTCAAAGAGCAGGAACAGGGACAGATGGACATGGGTGACTAATAAGGAATTATCCAACTATTTTTAGATTAAACTATTTACAAAGCATCTGTAAACTCTGTTCAAAAACTTTTACTATGAGTAAAGAATAACTACAGTTTCCGGGGCTCATGATCAATACAAAGTTCTCACATGCAATTTTCAAGCTCAACCAGTAGGAAATGGCTCATTATAAAGCCATTTTTGGGCCCAGCCAAAAAAAAAAAGAGCTGCAGCAGTAGGGCTTATTTTATTCTTAGAGATCTCACCGCACTACTAAGACAGACAGAAATGTAACCTTCACAGTGCACAACCTTCACAGTGCAAGCCAGAGGCGCTGCAGAGGATGCTGAAGAATGCAGGAATGCTGGGAATTGAAAGAATTTGCAAACATGCTCTTGTTCCCTTGCTTAGTTGTACTGAAGCCACAGAAATTATGTAAATAAGGCTGAGGAAAACTCCACTCCTCAAGTGGCATGGTTTCCTATGTGGAGCTACTCAGAAAGTTTTTTTTTTTCCACAGCCAGAGTTGCAGACCAGCAGAGAAGAGAAAGCTTTATCACCTCGCTCGGCAGACCCCATAAACAAACATTGCTTGCTTATAAGGAGAGTTTTCCTTAAAAACAGATCAACACACCAACCAACCAATATTCGCGCTCTTCTTTTGAGAACAGACTAAATCATTATAAAAGCTGTGTGTAGGAAAAGGCAGAGGAGAGCTCTGCTGCCCCGTTCTGAGTATGACGCTTGGTTTGGGTTATTTCATTTGGGAAGGAACATGGCAAACATAAATAAAAGGATGATTGCACAAACATAAACCATTTTCTTCAATGAAAAAAGGCTTTCTTCAGTACACACTGCCCAAACTGTCTCTTTCCAACACCCCTCTGCCCTTGTACAATCTTCTGAGTGCTGTATTTATCATCGAAGCCAGAGAGGGAAACCTTTCCGTCTGATCCGTGGAAGAGGCTTCTTGTCCTTCGCTTTGTATCTAAACAGGGCAGTGACACGGAAACTAGCTGGAAGCAAAGACTCAAGAGAGCAGAGAATGAGAAGAGAAAGGGTTCACTGACTCCGCTTCATTCCTCGCTCATGTTAATTGGTTGTAGGCTCTAGTTTTAAATAAAAGCGCTTGAAATGACACAGGAAGATTTAGAAAACTCTGTGATGTCCTTCTTCATAATCAAGTACTCAATACGAATGCCTCATCAGCAGTTTTTTTCTTTTCAAATTCATCCTATTGGATTTTGCCATTTTGGCATGTACCTTGAAACAATGCAGATGACAGCTATAATATATTGACTTTAGACTATCTCTTGCCTTTATACCGACCTGTTACAGTGATTTAAAGAGGTGACCAGGTGTAGTAACAGCTACACTATGTGACACTTAAAATAATCCACCAGATGCCCTTGAAGTTGATAAAGCACACCTGGGGAACGCACAGTTGGATCCGTCTTGGAGGGGCTAGGGTTCACCACTGACTGATGACCAATGCCTTCAGAATAGTGCTCCTGAAAAGAATTAAGATTTTGCTGCGCGTGTACCGACCTGCTCCCAGCTAGCGCTCACCAGCTTTGCCCACACAAGAATGACACACCTGATGCCTGTGGCCCCCCATGACACCATGCCCAAACGCTCAGTACAACATGATCTCCTCAGAAAGAGCATCCTGCTGCGGTACACAGGTACAGAAACGCCTGAAGCCATAAACTCGAGACCTGCTTGCATGCAGAGGTGGCAAAAAGGTCCAGGCAAACAGGTTGCCCGAGACAGGCATTTCCCATCTGCAGGGCCAAAACTAACACACCAAACCAGCCACCAAAACAGCAAAGACCAATCCATACTGCTAGCACAGGTTGGGCTGCTGTTATCAAGCAAGTAATAATCATGTGGTACCAAAGACAAAACCACAGATAAAAACAACCGTGGCACTGCACGGTGACAAATGTGGCTATAAACACACAGCCCAGATGTACACTAACATTATTCTTTACCTGTTTACAAACATAATTGGTTCAAAACAAGGCTTTCTCTAGAAGCTATTTACAAAAATGTTTAAGCATTTTCTTCTAGAAACACCATCATTTATGCTATTTCCTCCTACCCATCCATTACACAAAGAGTTACACCAGGTTCGTGCTACAGCTAAAACAATGCTTTCTGCGTGAGCTTTGAATTGCTTCGGTTCCTCATGTGAGCTTGTGCGTTCACGTTTTTCTTCTAATCCTCTTAGATCACACTGTTTATACTGCTTTCTGAGATTTTGGTACTATTTGAGCTTTAACAACAAAATTTAGTCATTAGATGTTGTGCTTTGTGAATTACAAAAGCCTTCTAAGGACACAGTATCTTTTCTTCTAAATTCTCCTTGAGTATCCTGCTTTTATCTGGATTCAGTATCTGGAAAGTGTGTCCCAATCAAAACAGAATTAAAAATAACTAAATCCTGGATATTCCCTTCAGTAACTAGGCTGCAAAAAACATTAGACAATAGGTTTTAAAAGCCTAAATTGAAAACTAATCACTCCATTGAATCCTTCCTTTCATTTGGTTAATATGCACATACAAAACTAGCGGTGAATCTAGTTCCGTGCTTGAAACATAAACAGAGCAAATCAGTTATTTCTTTTAATCGCAGTTCCACAGCGATGTACGGCAATTTTGTTTTAAAACAATTCAGCACTTCTACAATAACATCTGCTTTTCAGATCTAACAGAGAAGCTGAATTGAGATAAATACCAACTCAAAAAAACACAAGAGAAACAAATATGTATGAGTGGTGAAAAAAAAAAAAAAGTCAGGACCACAGACAAGACAGCATTAAAAACTGTCATTACCTGCAACTACTTGGTAGCAACAGCATTCCTAGTGACAAAATAACACACGCAAACTGCACCAACCCTCCGCTCGAGGAGCACTGCGGTGGCACAGCACTGGCGTACGCTCCGATGGAGGGGGGTCACCAAGGGTGTTTTACAAGACCCTCAACAGGGAGGGAGCTCTCAAAGTATCCGAGACCTGCCCAGAGACATATCCATCTATATTCCTAAACTCTATCTGAAATGGCTTTTCTCTGTCAATTGAGAAATCTTTATTTCCTGATCTTTGTTCTATCTTTAGGCCTTTATTACAAAACAGGAAAAGTCAGACCAGAGCAAAAGAATACTGTAGCAGCTATGTACAAGTTTAAACACCAATTTCTATAAAAGTCAAAAGTTGAAGCAATCAGAGAAGATGGCTTATAGCCCACTGAAAGGAAAGGAAGCTAAACTGCTGGAGAGAAAACCATCTTAGCCAGGTTTATTAAAACCAAGTAACATAAAAGAGTAATCTTGTCAATACTCATCAGTTGGTACCGTCGGGGAAGGAGGAAGGGCGAGCCGTGCTGCAGCGTGATTTCACTTGCAAGGCATCTAAATGAAATTCATTAGTAAGTAACCCAATTCACATAAACTGAAAGTTAAAGGATCCTAGAAAATGAAGTTAAATGCAGTCTAGACAAAAAATTATTACTCAAAGCGCTGAGTGTTACATGAAGGGACTATGGCATCTAGAGAAGTCAAAAAATCCCACCTTCACAGACTGCTACATCTAGGATGGGAGCTCACCTATGTACATTCAAGGTGTTTTCTTATTTCTGTGTTTTCTGAAAATAGTGGACATGATGACTAGTGACATACTGATAATAGTAGCATATTGATAAATAATTTTTTGTGGTTTTATTCTAGCACTGAGTTTGAAATTTAAATTCATCACTGCAAGAATAATCAGAGAAGACTGAGAGTAACAGCCTGTCAAACAGGGTGCTCTCAGCAGACTCACTTCAAATTGGAAAGATAAAAAAAAATTTCCTTGTGTAAAAAAAAAAAAAAATCTGATGTGCAGCATTTCAGGGTCACTGT